CAAAAGTCTACCTTCTAAGGTGGACTGCTGCCAGGTAGCTGTGATTAGCTAGGCTCAAATCGTACTAGCTCTACTCTCAGGGGCACTTCTCCTAGTCCTATTAAGGGCTTTTTGTGGATTCCATCCATCATCTTATTTAGTGTTTACCACAATTCTAAGATTTAGACATTATTTTTATCCACATTTATAGATGAATAAACTGATGCTGAGCTAGAAAAACTGATCAAAGGTAATATAGCTGGTAAATGGGGGCACAGGACTTTACACTCTGGAGAAGTTTTTTGATATCAAGTCAAGTCCTTTTTTCTCAATGATGCCAGTTCTTTTCAACCTGTTTCAAAGGGCACTGGAATCCTGTGGTGCCTCAAGAGCCCCTGAGCCAAAAGAGGAGGGAGGGGAAGAAAGGCCCCTTGCTCTGGCTTCAACCAGAGCACATCTAATATACATAAATATATATACTATGGTTATATTTATATAGTATAAGTATCTAATTATATATTATATATCTATATAACTACATATATATGTATGATGTTGTATATATATATAGATATATAGCACCCACTTAGAATTTTGTTAGAAAAAATTCCCAAACACTGTAGCATACCATGATGAGTCCTAATGCCCTTATGATCTACACTAGAAACTTCTTGAAGTCAGACACCTCATCTTATCCTTTCTTTGGTCTCACAACAGTGTGGGACCTCCCTTGACCTGTGAGCCAGACTTCGGAAGAAGGAGCCCATGGAAATCCTTGCCCTGGCGATGCTCTGGGCTCCAGAACAGCTCTGTCTAAGCATCTCCCATGACCCCTGGCAACCTTGCTGTCTGCTTCTCACTAAAGCCAATTAAATTACTCCCGGTACCTGCAGCCTTCTCGCTGTTACCACGACTCATTGAGTTCTCGCCCAAGAGGGAAGTGATGTCTTCTCCAAATATCCTGAGGCAATTTTCAATGAGAAATTGTACAAGACAAATCTGTAACACAAAAAGACAAGAATGAGGTGCTCTTTTCCATAGGGCATAGTTATAAATCACATTTTGTATACAGACCTTGGATCTAAGAAAAAATGGGAAGGACTTCTCAGAAAAATTCAGAGTTGATAAAAATATGTAGAAACCAGGGGCGCCTGGGTGGCTCAGTCGGTTAAGCGTCTGCGTTCGGCTCAGGTCATAATCCCAGGGTGCTGGGATCAGCCCTACATGGGGCTCCCTGCTCAGCGGGAAGCCTACTTCTCCCTCTCCCACTCCCCCTGCTTGTGTTCCCTCTCTCGCTGTGTCTCTTTCAGTCAAGTAAATAAATAAAAGTTTAAAAAAAAACACAAAAAAACAGAAACAAATAGAAACCAGAGTTCTCTCAGAAATAACTTAGAAAGAGTGATACTTTCCCGTGTACTTTGGGTACACATTTTAAAATACTGCCCATCGGTGGGCTAAAGGTATAATGCGTGGCCTAGTTAAAGAGCTAACATTTTGGGATCAGTGGTTACGTCTTTAAGCCTAGGATAAATTTCGGGGCCCCTCTGTTGGGCGTCTGACTCTTGATTTCGGCGCAGATCACGATCTCATGGTGGTGAGATCCAGCCCCACATGGAGCCAACTTTGGGCTCCGTGCTCAGCGGGGAATGGGCTTGGGCTTCTCCCTCTCCCTCTCCCTCTTCTTCTGCCCCTGCCCCGCTCACGCTCTCTCTTTCCCTCTCTCAAATAAATACATATCAAAATCTAAATAAAACAAGGATAATTTTCAAAGTAGCCTACCTTATTAACGTATACTTATTTTTTGCTTTTAAATTTTGTTTCCAGTTTTACTGAGCTGTAACTGATGTATACCATCTTATGAAACTTTATAAAGTATGAACAACAACTTAAGAAAACCATTTCTTAAATGAAGAAGTATCATAAAGTTGGGAAGCAGGGATTTTGGTGGGGTTGTGAGGGAAAACCCACACAGCTGGAGAGAAAACTTATCTGTCTAACTTCAGTCCCTTCTCACGCATTGCTTTGCCTCATGCTGGCTCTCTCTGGGTGAGCTTGGGGAAGACCTGTCATCTTATTAGGATATTCTGGAATCTTTTGCTAGTTTCCATATGATGTAGCAGAGGTGAAATAGTAGCCGAGTACTTTTCTAGATGAGCCACAATTGGCAGAGGAAGGCCAATGTGTTTGGAGGCATGGGGGCTCATATTGCCCAAGCCACCCAGGATGTGCCAGTGATGACCGGAGGAGCTGGCTGTTGTCGCCATTGTGTAGTGAGGAAACCATGGCTTTGCCCAAGGTTGCGAGTCCCTTAGGGATTAGGCTGAGAGTTGAACCTTGACCGGTGAAGCTCCAAAACCCAGGTTCTTTCCTATCGTATCACACGACTCTTCTCTCTCTCGTTTAGTCAGTCTAGTGTTTAGTCTCCTGGAGGGGGAAGAAGTGACTCGACTGCTCCGAGTTTCCCGTTTAACGACAGCCCTTCTCAGACCCCGCCAGAGTAGCATAAAGAACTCTGCCACTCCACAGGGGCCTAATGAAAATGTGCACTTCACAAAGTTCCTTCTGTCAGAGTTACTACTGCACATGTCCGGTTCAAAGTAGGGATTCTACCCCCTGGGGGACAAAAATGAGAGCTCTCATTACCTTTCTTATCAAGTTGTCTTCCAATTCCAAGCTGCCGGAATCAGGTGGGTAAAGAACGCTTGGGGCTATACAAACGGATAAATTATAAGGTTTCATCTGATTGGATGAGGAATGTTGCTCAATGTTGTATAGCACTCCAAAAAGGTATCGCAAGAGAACAACATTTGCTCTTGGCAGCTGGGCTAAAAGCCTAAAGTCAAAAAAACACACTTTTAAATTAGGCAAGTGATTCCACTTAGGAGGTTGGAAAAACAGAGACAGGGAACAGGATACATCCTTGTATATCTAGCACACCACCCGCTGTAGCAGAGTTCCATGCATGAATGTAGACAAAATTGGTGCACTGAATTCAGTTACTGAGCCAGATAAACACTTCTCTGGTTAGTTAAATGTCTGACAGACTTTTAAGGTCATAGCCCTGGCAGTTGTTGCTCTTGATCTGTCTTGGACCAGGGAATTTTGTCTACCAGTTTCAAGGATCCAGAAGGTGTAAAACGGCCAAGGAGTCCAGATTAATAAGATCAGGAGAAGAACAATAATAGCCCTAAAGTGTGCCTCTATTCTGAAGCTGGGCCCCATGGGTGTGAAGACTCGAAACTCCTTGGCGTTGGTCATGATTATAGTGGGCAAAGCTGGAAAACGTAAGCCAATGTTTTCCTAATAGTATGTTGGGTGTATTTTGGAGATGTGACCAGAGTAGAGTAATTATTGCATCGTTACCTCCGAGCTGCAGTTATCATCTCCTCTTTGTTGCCTTGATCAATAACACCGAGCCATTTGTCATAGAGGTCAGATAAAAATATACTTCCTTGGATGTTTCTAAGAAAATCCTTAGGGAGATAAAAAAATATATATATTTATACTATAGAAACTATGTATTGGAAATATTTCAGAGAAAACATGTAGTTAAAAAATTCAGTTCAGCCCCCACTTCCTTCACAGATACCCAAACTGGGACCCACACGGAGTTCGGCTCCGACTTTCCATTGACTTGCTCACGCAGGAGCAGGTGCTTGGATTTTCTCCCGCTAAAAGTTAGAGGCATAAAAGCAGAGCTTAGCCTGTGGTGGAAATGAAGATAAAGCTCCCTTCTATCATCGGGAAATTATTTTGTGTGTGGTTTTTTTTTCAAAGAACCACACACTGACTGGGTCTGGGTATAGACCATCTTAAATCCTATTAGCTTCCTGGACAGAAATACACATACCCATGTTGCTTGTTTTAGACAAAGTGCTAGCTCTTAATTCTAGCAAGAAAAGGCCTGAAACAATCAAAACACATACAGGTGGGCTCTGGCACACATATTAGGAAAGAACTAGGTCTTCTCACTCGGGGTATGTGTGCTCCCTGGAAGAAAGCTACTCTCACAATTGCTTCATTCTTCCTTTCCTTAACTGTCTAAAAGTCGAGAGTCTAATGGCAGACTCACTGTGGTCCTGAGGATAGATTCATTTCTAGTTTAGGCCAATTGTCCAGTTAGTTTGCCATGATATTATCAAGGCCAAGGTTGCAGAGTCTGATTCTCCACCAAGATCCATCAACTTCAGGAAGAGAAAACTTTAGAAATGTCTAAGCACTCTCCCCACAAGTGCTCACCCTCTCCCTAGTCGGTGCTTATAACACGGAATCAGGAAAGAACCTCCTAACTCTTGCTAGAAAATGGATTCCATGTGTGCACCTTACAGAGGGCAACACTCATCTTGCTACCTAGTGTATCATCATTCTTCTCCTGTCTCCTGATGCCTATATGTATATTACTACTGGATATCACTATGGCTCCAGTGTAGGAGTGGTTACCTAAATCATTTTAGGACCTTGCTATTAATCACATCTTCGAACATTAATGGGGGACAAGGGAAGACCAAATGTGACTGAGATTCTATGACTAGTCATTACTACGTTAACATAGGGTTGTTCAGAGCTGTTCATAAGTGCCAAGGTGGATGGATTAAATTCTTTCCCTGTTCTATTTCTTTTGGAAAGTTTGCCTTCATTAGGAGGGTGGTGAGGATGTTTGCATGGGTAAACAGTGTGTATGTATCGGTGCGTATTTTGAAATTTATTATCATGACTAGTAGTCATTTCAGTATTAGTATTTTGCATGGAGTCTTCAGGAGTGAAGGTGGGGAGGGCCGTGTGTAGTGAAAACAGAGTATTTTTAACATATGGGGCTTTTAACTCCAAAAGTAGCTTCCTTAAATTTTGATTTTGTCAAGCGTTTTTCAGCTTGTCAGGTTCTTAATCTATTATCCCCGTTATGGTTCTTGAGCAGTCATGATGAAGGACACCAATCATAGCTTCAGTTACTCAAGTGTGGATAATGCTAGAGCCTTCCCTACCTTTAAGACGGATGCGACCACATGAACAGATTCACTGTACGGGTTCACTTTGAAGCCAGAATTTAGTTTCTCCTTTAGGACATGGCAGGATTTTATATTGGCTGATTTTCTGAAGATGCCTTTTGTGAGAGGCCCTTTTTGATGAATAAAGGAAAGCATATCCTGTAGGAAGAAAAGAAAAGTATATGGCATCTCATATACACAAACACAGAGCACAAGCTAGCCTCTGTTTTAAAAGAGGAGGGGAATGTAATGGTACACTGTTTTAGAGCGGGAAGGACCAAAGGCAATTTACTTAGTTTTTTTTTTTTTTTTTCAGTGTCTCTCTATATACTTTCTACCCAAATATCTTTTTTACAGTCATACACTGAAACATTTTAAACACTTCTTTTAATCAGATTTTCCTTTCCATTGAGTTTCCACTCTTAAGTCAAACTTCTCTGCTTCAAGGCCTTTGTGCAATCACCATGTGTTTCCTACTTTACCATGCTTTTCTCATTATTCCCTTACGTAGATGCTCTTCCCCAAATATGGAATTCTATTTAGGAAATACTCATTTCCCATTTGTTTATTTCTCTTTAAGTGACTGTATACTCCATTCCTACTTGTTCTATTTCCTTCCCTTCATTTAAAGTCAGGCTCAGAAACTCTCTTCCCCTTCTCTGATTACCCTCCCTTCTCATGAGTCTTTCATTGTCTTTTGCTCTATCTTCATGTCCTCTCTCTGCTGTGTAGAATCTTAATAAGGGCTGGACTCAGGGAATCCAACGGATCTGAAGTCTATTATGCTACTTATCTATTGTGTTAGCTGGGGCACATACATCCTGTACTGAGGCTTTTCTGATTCGGTTAGGCAGTGCGGAGGATGATAATCCTAGCTAGCCCCTAAATTTGCTGTGATGCAAGGACCTGGGGTAGTAGGTAGCAGGTAACATGCTAGCTAATACGATACATTTCTTCATAGCTAGCAGAACGTTCCCTACATCCCGTACAGTGCTTGCAGAGACACCAAATACTCAGTGAATGTCCACACTGACAATTCACTAGAGCAGTTTGAGATAACACAGGCCAAACTCTGTGGCTTTCATTTGACATATTCTGTTAGGATTAATAGTTTCCTATCTGCCAGAGGATGAGTCTATGCTCGTGTCAGATGTTTGCAGTTGTTAGACTGAGTAGACTCCGCTGAAGGAGACTTGAGACTCATGTGAGTGCAGGAAGGCAATGAAGGGAGAGTGTGAAGATGAGGTGGACTCTCAGAGACTCACATACACAGAGTCATTTTGACTCATCTGAACAGGCCTCGGTGGGTTTTTGCGGAAAGAAGACCCAAGTAGAATGGACAAGAATGTCTTTTCCTGTTGTATTTGCCTCATGACTCTGCTGGACCTAAGTCAGATTCTGTTCCTTGAAATAACAGTAACAGAGCTTCTGAGCCAAAACCAGGGCTGTCTAAGGACTTCTCTATTTGGGGATAGATTTGGATGAGGACACGTGGCCTCTCAGTGTTTCCCCCCCTCAGAAGAGCTATAGAAGACCAAAATGAGATGACCTACCAGAATTGGGAAGGCCAGGTTGTCTTTATAACACACAACCATGAGGCAAACTCCAAAGAGCTCTCCTGGCTTTGCAGAATGTGGGGTTGTGCACTGGTTTTGCTGGCAAGTGCTGGAGCCCCACCAAAAGGCCCTGTCTCTGAAAGAACAGCTTTTCACAGTTTTCTGGCCGGAGTCTAAGGAAGAAGAGAGAGTACTAGTAGTAGTAGTTGTTCTTTAATCCGCTGAAACTTCTTCTTCCTTTTTTTTTTTTTTTTTTTTACAGATTTTATTTATATTTTGATAGAGGGAGAGAGACAGCGAGAGAGGGAACACAAGCAGGGGGACGGGGAGAGGGAGAAGCAGGCTTCCCTCGGAGCAGGGAGCCCGATGCGGGGCTTGATCCCAGGACCCCGAGATCATGACCTGAGCTGAAGGCAGTTACTTAACGACTGAGCCACCCAGGTGCCCCAGACTCATCTTAATTCCTGATGACTTGTATTTTCCTAAAGATTTCCTCAAATCAATGTCGTAAGCATCATAAAACCAAGAAATCTCAGAAATATGGAGGGATTGATGATACGTGTCTACAGGTTCTGAATCGAAAGTCTACCTTCCAAGGTGGACTGCTGACAGCTGTTATTAGCTAGGCTCAAAACATACTAGCTTTAGTCTCAGGGGCACTTCTCCTAGTCCTATTAATGGCTTTTTTTGGATTACATCCATCATCTTATTTATTCTACACAACAATTCTAAGATTTAGACATTATTTTTATCCATATTTAGAGATGAATTAACTGATGCTGAGCTGGTATAACTGGGCAAAGATAATATAGCTGGTAAATGCGGGCACAGGAATTTACACTCTGGAGAGGTAGTTTGACATCAAGTCAAGTCCTTTTTTCTCAATGATGCCAGTTCTTTTCAACCCATTTTAAAGCCACTGGAATCCGGTGGTGCCTCAAGAGCCCCTGAGCCAAAAGAGGACGGAGGGGAAGAAAGGCCCCTTCTCTGGCTTCAACCAGAGCACTTCTAATATACATAAATATATATATTATGATAATATATTTATATAGTATAAGTATCTAATTATATATTATATATAACTACATACATATGTATGATTTGTTTTACATATATATATGTATATACAAATATATACATACATATACATACATCCTGTACTGAGGCTTTTCTGATTCGTTATTACATATATACATATATATACAAATATATATGTATATATATGTATAGCACCCTTTTAGAATTTTGTTAGAAAAAATTCCCAAACACTATGGCATACCATGATGAGTCCTAATGTCTTTATGATCTACCCTAGGAACTTCTTGAAGTCAGAGACTTCATCTTATCCTTTCTTTGGTCTCACAACAGTGTGGAACCTCCCTTGACCTGTGAGCCAGCCTTTGGAAGAAGGAGCACATGGAAATCATTGCCCTGGTGATGCTCTGGGCTCCAGAACAGCACTGTCTATGCATCTCCCATGACCCTTGGCAGCCTTGCTGTCTGCTTCTCACTAAAGCCAATTAAATTATTCCCGGTAGCTGCAGTCTTCTCGCTCTTACCACGACTCATTGACTTCTCTCCCAAGAAGGAAGTGATGTCTTCTCCAAATATCCTGAGGCAATTTTCAAGGAGAAATTGTACAAGAGAAATCTGTAACACAAAAAGACAAAAATGGGGTGTTCTTTTCCATAGGCCATAGTTAGCAAACACATTTTGTATATAGACCTTGGATCTAAGAAAAAACGTGAAGGACTTATCAGAAAAATTCAGAGTTGATAAAAATACGTAGAAACCAGGGGCACCTGGGTAGCTCAGTCAGTTACGCATCTCCCTTCGGCTCAGCTTATGATCCCAGGGTGCTGGGATCAGCCCTATATCTGGCTCCCTGCTCAGCGGGAAGCCTGCTTCTTCCTCTCCCACTCTCCCTGCTTGAGTTCCCTCTCTGTCAAGTAAATAAATAAAATCTTAAAAAAAAAAAACCAAAAAAAAAAATAGAGACCAGAGTTCTCTAGGAAATAACTTAGAATGACTGATGCTTTCCCGTGTACTTTGGGTACACATTTTGAAATACTGCTCATCAGTGGGCTAAAGTTTTAATGTGTGGCCTAGTTTCATAGCTAACATTTTGGGATCAGTGGTTACATCTTTAAGCCTAGGATAAATTTCGGGGCCCCTCAGTTGAGCGTCTGACTCTTGATTTCGGCTCAGATCACAATCTCATAGTGGTGAGATCCAGCCCCACATGGAGCCAACTTTCGGCTCTGGGCTCAGCAGGGAATTGGCTTGGTCTTCTCCCTCTCCCTCTTCTTCTGCCCCTGCCCCGCTCACGCTCTCTTTCCCTCTCTCCAAAAAATAAATATCAAAAAATAAATAAAACTAGGATAATTTTCAAAGTAGCCTACCTTATTAAAGTTTACCTGTTTTTTGTTTTTAAATTTTGTTTCCAGTTTTATTGAGCTGTAACTGATGTATAACATCTTATGAAACTTTATAAAGTATGAACGAAAACATAAGAAAACCATTTCTTAAATGAAGAAGAATCTTAAAGTTGAGAAGCAGAGATTTTGGTGGGGTTGTGAGGGAAAACCCACACAGCTGGAGAGAAAATGTATCTGTCTGTCTAAATTCAGTACCTTCTCACGCATTGGTTTGCCTCATGCTGGCTCTCTCTGTGTGAGCTTGGGGAAGACCTGTCATCTTGCTAGGATGGTCTGGAATCTTTTGCTAGTTTCCATAAGATGTAGCAGAGGTGAAATAGTAGTTGAGTACTTTTCTAGATGAGCCACAATTCGCAGAGGAAGGCCAATGTGGTTGGAGCCATGGGGGCTCATATTGCCCAAGCCACCCAGGATGTGCCAGTGATGACCAGAGGAGCTGGCTGTTGTCGCCATTGTGTAGTGAGGAAACCTTGGCTTTGCCCAAGGTTACGAGTCCCTCAGGGATTAGGCTGAGAGTTGAACCTTGACTGGTGAAGCTCCAAAGCCCAGGTTCTTTCCTATCGTATCACATGACTCTTCTCTCTCTCGTTTAGTCAGTCTAGTGTTTAGTCTCCTGGAGGGGGAAGAAGTGACTCGACTGCTCCGAGTTTCCCGTTTAACGACACCCCTTCCCAGACCCCGCCAGAGTAGCCTAAAGAACTCTGCCACTCCACAGGGGCCTAATGAAAATGTGCACTTCACAAAGTTCCATCCATCAGAGTTACTACTGCACATGTCCGGTTCAAAGTAGGGATTCTACCCCATGGGGGCAAAAATGAGAGCTCTCATTACCTTTTTTATCAAGTTGTCTTCCAATTCCAAGGTGCCGGAATCAGGTGGGTAAAGAACGCTTGGGGCTATACAAACGGATAAATTATAAGCTGTCATCTGATTGGATGAGGAATGTTGCTCAATGTTGTATAGCACTCCAAAAAGGTATCGCAAGAGAACAACATTTCCTCTTGGCAGCTGGGGTAAAAGCCTAAGGTCAGAAAAATACACATTTAAATTAGGCAAGTGATTCCACTTAGGTGGTTGAAAAAAAAGACAGGGAACAGGATACATCCTTGTATATCTAGCACACAACCCGCTGTAGCAGAGTTCCAGGCATGAATGTATACAAAATTGTTGCCCTGACTTCAGTTCCTGCGCCAGATAAAATCTTCTCTGGTTAGTTAAATGTTTGACAGACCTTTAAGGTCATAGCCCTGGCAATTGATGTTCTTGCATCTGTCTTGGACCAGGGGATTTCCCCTAACAGTTTCATGTATTCAAAAGATGTAAAACGGCCAAGGATTCCACATTAATAAGATCAGGAAAAGAACGATAATGGCCCTAAAGTGTGTCTCCATTATGAACCTGGCCCCCATGGGTGTGAAGAATTGAAACTCTTTGGCATTGGTCATGATTATAGTGAGCAAAGCTGCAAAACGTAAGCCAATGTTTTCCTAATAGTATGTTGGCTGTATTTTGGAGATGTGACCAGAGTAATTATTGCATCATTACCTCTGGGCTGCAGTTATCTTCTCCTCTTCGTTGCCTTGATCAATAACACCGAGCCATTTGTCATAGTGATCAGATAAAAATATACTTCCGTGTATATTTCTAAGAAAATCCTTAGGGAGATAAAAAAAAAAAAACTATGTATATATGTTATAGAAAATATGTAATGGAAATATTCCAGAGAAAATATGTAGTTAAAAAATTCAGTTCAGCCCCCACTTCCTTCACAGATACCCAAACTGTGACCCACACGGTGCTCGGCTCTGACTCTCCATTGACTTGCACACGCAGGAGCAGGTGCTTGGATTTTCTCCCACTAAAACTTAGAGGCATAAAGCAGAGCTTAGTCTGTGGTGGAAATGAAGATAAAGCTCCCTTCTATCATCTGGAACTTATTTTGTGTGTGTGCTTTTTTTGCAAAGTACCACAAACTGACAGGGTCTGGCTATAGACCATCCTAAATCCTATTAGCTTCCTGGACAGAAATACACATACTCATGTTGCTTGTTTTAGACACAGCGCCAGCTCTTAACTCTAGCAAGAAAAGGCCTGAAACAATCAAAACACAAACAGGTGGGCTCTTGCACACATATTAGGAAAGAACTAGGTCTTCTCACTCGGGGTATGTGTGCTCCCTGGAAGAAAGCTACTCGCACAATTGCTTCATTCTTCCTTTTCTTAACTGTCTAAAAGTCGAGAGTCTAATGGCAGACTCACTGTGGTCCTGAGGATAGATTCATTTCTAGTTTAGGACAATTGTCCAGTTAGTTTGCCATGATATTATCAAGGCCAAGGTTGCAGAATCTCATTCTCCACCAAGATCCGTCAACTTCAAGAAGAGAAAAGTTTAGAAATGTCTAAGCACTCTCCCCACAAGTGCTCACCCTCTTCCTAGTCGGTGCTTATAACACGGAATCAGGAAAGAACCTCCTAACTCTTGCTAGAAAATGGATTCCATGTGTGCACCTTACAGAGGGCAACACTCATCTTGCTACCTGGTGTATCATCATTCTTCTCCTGTCTCCTGATGCCTATATGTATATTACTACTGGATATCACTATGGCCCCAGTGTAGGAGTGGTTACCTAAGTCATTTCTGGACTTTGCTATGGATCACATCTTCGAACATTAATGGGGGACAAGGGAAGACCAAATGTGACTGAGATTCTAAGACTGTAGTCAGTACTACATTAACATAGGGTTGTTCAGAGCTGTTCATAAGTGCCAAGCTGCATGGATTAAATTCTTTCCCTGTTCTATTTCTTCTTTTTTGTTTTTTTTCTTATTCATTTGAGACACAGAGATAGAGAGGGAGAGAGCATGAGGAGGGAGAGAGGCAGAGGGAGAGGGAGAAGCAGGCTCCCCGCTGAGCAGGAAGCCCGATACGGGGCTCGATCCCAGGACACTGGGATCATGACCTGAGCCGAAGGCAGACGCTTAACCATCTGAGCCACCCAGGCGCCCCTCCCTGTTCTATTTCTTTTGGAAAGTTTGCCTTCATTAGGAGGGTGGTGAGGATGTCTGCTTCGGTAAACAGTGTGTTTGTGTCAGTGCGTATTTTGAAATTTAGTATCATGACTGTAGTCATTTCAGTATTAGTATTTTGCATGGAGTCTTCAGGAGTGAAGGTGCGGAGGGCCGTGTGTGGTGAAAACAGAAAGTATTTATAACACATGGGGCTTTTAACTCCTAAAGTAGCTTCCTTAAATTTTGATTTTGTCAAGCGTTTTTTAGCTTGTCAGGTTCTTAATCTACTCTGCCCGTTATGGTTCTTGAGCAGTCATGATGAAGGACACCCATCATCGCTTCAGTTACTCACATGTGGATAATGCTAGAACCTTCCCTACCTTTAAGACGGATGCGAACACATGAATAGATTCCCTGTACGGGTTCACTTTGATCCCAGAATTTAGTTTCTCCGTTAGGACTCTGCGGGATTTTATATTGGCTGAGTTTCTGAATATGCCTTCTGCGAGTGGCCGTTTTTGATTAATAAAGGAAAGCATACCGTGTAGGAAGAAAAGAAAAGTATATGGCATCTCATATACCATGCCTGCCTCCGTTTTGAAAGAAAAGGGGAATGTAATGGTACAATGTTTTAGAGCGGGAAGGACTAAAGTCAATTTAGATTGCTGTTTTTTCAGTGTCTCTCTATATACTTTCTACCCATATATCCATTTTACAGTCATACACTGAAACATTTTCAACACTTCTTTTAATCAGATTTTCCACTAAGTTTACACTTTTAAATCAAACTTCTCTGTCTCAAGGCCTTTGCGGAATCACCGTCTGTTTCCTACTTTCCCATTCTTTTCACATTTTTCCCTTACATACATGCTTTTCCGCAAGTATGGAAGTCTATTTAGGAAATACTCATTTCCAATTTGTTTATTTCTCTTTAAGTGACTGTATACTCCATTCCTACTTGTTCTATTTCCTTCCCTCTTGTAAAGTCAGGCTCAGAAACTCTCTTCCCCTTCTCTGATTACCCTCCCTTCTCATGAGTCTTTCATTGTCTTTTGCTCTATCTTCATGTCCTCTCCCTGCTGTGTAGAAACTTAATAAGGGCTGGACTCAGGGAATCCAACGGATCTGAAGTCTATTATGCTACTTATCTATTGTGTGAGCTGGGTCACACACATCCTGTACTGAGGCTTTTCTGATTCGTTTAGGCAGTGCAGAGGATGATAATCCTAGCTAGCCCCTAAATTTGCTGTGAAGCAAGGACCTGGGGTAGTAGCTAGCAGGTAACATGCTAGCTAAGATGATACATTTCTTCATAGCTAGCGGAACGTTCCCTACATCCCGTACAGTACTTGCAGAGACACCGAATACTCAGTGAATGTCCACACTGACAATTCACTACAGCAGTTTGAGATAACACAGACCAAACTCTGTGGCTTTCATTTGACATATTCTGTTAGGATTAACAGATTCCTATTTGCCAGAGGATGAGTCTATGCTTGTGTCAGATGTTTACAATTGTTAGACTGAGTAGACTCCGCTGAAGGAGACTTGAGACTCATGTGAGTTCAGGAAGGCAATGAAGGGAGAGTGTGAAGATGAGGTGGACTCTCAGAGACTCACATACACAGAGTCCATTTTGACTGATCTGAACAAGCCTCCGCATGTCTTTGTGGAAACAAGACCCAAGTGGAATGGAGAAGAATGACTTTTCCTGTTGTATTTGCCTCATGACTCTGCAGGACCGAAATCAGATTCTATTCTTTGAAATAACAGTAACAGAGCTTCTCAACCAAAGCCAGGGGCTGTCTAATGACATCTTCATTTGGGGATAGATTTGGATGAGGACGCTTGGCCTCTCAGAGTTTCCCCTT